AATTGTGAGGCCCCCTTTCAGGGTAAATTCTGACATCCCACATGGCCTTGAAACAGTGACACAAGGCAGATGAAATAGCACCATAGACATGAAGATGAATATCAAAACCTGTGACCACATTGAGAAAAATCACAAGTACAAGAGTAAAATACTGACATCCATGTCTCCTTTTCAATTCATGAAACTAACACTTGTGAATTCAGGTATAGGGACATAATTACGCACCCCAAGAGGGAATCTTATCGAAAGAAAAACTTATAAAACAAAACCCAAAATTTAACAGTTGATTGGAAGATTACAGTGTACTGGGTTCAGTCACTCGAATGCAGTTAATTGTAATAGATAGAAGTAATCACTGTACTTGTGGCAGGCAATGAAGTTCCGTATGTGAGCCTGGGACAGATTACCTTTACTAAACTGCATGATTCTGGGCTCTAGCTCCTTAAAGACGACAAAATAACCTCTCATTTTTTTTACTGTAAAACCAACTTTGTCTCTTAAAGGGCAAATCAGGGGTAGTAATATAGCTTGGTGGGAGGTCCCGGTATGCCTGTATTCACCCTTTTTGGATGAAAAATTAAAGAAACATGATACATCTTTCAACTGAATGGTGGAAGTTTTCCTTAGTTGATTTGTACCCAATGTTTCCTTTAAACCTATTCAGTTAGCAGCAGAACTTGAGGTCTCAGAGTATTAGAGTAGACTACTTTATGTTTTCAAGGACAGGAACGTACTTTCAAGTTGGGAGAAGACTTATTAGAAACAATGTCTCACCAAACAAGGAGGCTGCATACAGAAACATTTTGAATACTACTGGTAAAATGGTGGTCTGACCCTTAATCAGCTTCTACATCCTTGAAGTCTAGACCAAATTAGTTGGGTCTTTAACTCAAAATTTGTAATTTAACACCAGATAAAATTTGTCATTCTCCTTTAAGTAGTTCTCAGCACTAATTGAGAACCCTTAAGAAAATCCTTTGACAGGGATTATTCCAGAAGAATAATTCCAGAGGTTACATTGAACGATAGTATTTAGTGTATTATTTAACAGGGGTTAAAAGCAACATTTTTTTTTACAAATCACTATTTTACATTGAAAGGTGATGAATGATGTTGTGGGCCTCTCATATGTATGGAAGCACATGGGAGGAGGGCAAGAAGGAGGGGGGGAGTATTTTCTTGTACCCAGAAAGTTTAATGAAATGGTGGAATCCATTTCAACCACTTTAATAGATAATGACATTGGTGAATACTTTTGAAATTAAGAATTTATTTGTCTTCTTGCAACAACCTAACAGTCAAACAGAGGGTGGCCATTGGTAAGTATGGAACTTCTCAACTGGATAACATGAAATAGCTAGCACACTGAGCCTCACAACTTGTCTGTAAAATAAAATGAATGCCTCGGCTCTGATGGGCAACAGAGATATAAAGGGATAAAAAGTCCATACTAGAGAATTCTAAAAATATCTGTCAGCTTTCCGGTCTTGCTACGTCAAATTATGAAATCACCTGATGAGTTATGAATATTGTGTCTCCTGATTTATGAGCTAAAACGTTTCCCTGAGGGGATCATCTGGCAGACCCTTGGGAAATTAAAAATAAATAGCTCAATTTTTCTTTAAAAAAATAAGCATTTCTGATACTATTTTGCAGCATTGATACTGTTTAGAAGCCGATCATCCCCCCACGTTTGAAGTTACTAACAGTTCTATCCCCCAGGACGTGCCTAATACCCCCCCCCCCCCCCCATTGAGGGTACCAATGTCTGGAGTACAATAACAGCAACATAAACAATAACATATTATTTTACAGGTGAAATAGAATACATAATTTATCTGAAACTTTCACATAAATCACAGTTTGAGTGGACAAACTTCTGTCAAGGAATTATCAGATTTAATTACACTAATGACAATAAATCAGACTATTGATGCTAGGTAATCTAAAGAAAGTTTTTGCTTTTGAGTCACTGTTGAAGATACCACACCAAAATATCCAAATAAAATATGAAAACAGGGCTCCCATTTGACTAAACTAATATGTAATCATAATTTATTTAAATCTCCACTTCATGGCTAAATCTATTTAAACCTTTGCCTTGGAACAAAGTTAAAATATATCAAGACGGTTCCAACTGTACAAAACACTGTAACTTTGAATTTGAACAGCCAACACAACAAATAAGATGGGTTTAACCAAAATACCTGGATTTGTTCAGATGGACCTACACTGTCCAACACTTCTAACGCAAAACTGACAGATCCAATAGCTGACAAAAGCTATTGCACTTATGCAACTCAACAAATTTGTCAATGGCATGGCTACTGAGGTTACCTGCACAAAAAAGCTTTCCCTCATTGTCCGACTCAACTTGCGAACTTGCAACCTCTGGGTCAAACAAACACACCCCACGGCCTTGAATATCCACCACCATTATTTCCTTCTTTGACTTCTCATAGCTATAGTGTGCCAAACATTCTGCCTTTTCCGTAAGGTTCTTGTTCTTTCCACATATTGTTCCATCATTATTGATGTACTTGTCAAACGTGCCACTAACAAATTCTTCGACGGTAACGTACTCATCCCTATTTCTAATATATCCAAGCATAACTTTGTTGTAAGCCAAGGTATCTCCAAACAAAATTAAATTGTCTTCTTTCTCAAGATCAGTGTGTAACTGGGCTGCAAAGTTTCTAGCTAAATAGTGCAGTTGAACTGATTTCTTTGTGTGTTGTTCTGGAGTCTGTCCAAGACTTCTCATATCTTCCAAAGACTTGTCGAGGTAGTGCTTCACAACCCAGGTAGTGTACGAATACTCTTTGTGTTTGCTTGTGGCCTTGAAAGCTTCCCTGAATCCGCCCGCTCCAAAAGCTGTCTCTTCCATGTTAAAGTCGACAAGAACTGGGGACGCTGACCAAGCCATAGCTTGAAAGTCAAAATTGTAAATCTCTATGGCTGTTGTTGTACGCTTGATTTGGTTGCCAAGTTTTAACATGTCAACGACGGAGAGGCTCTTAGGGATGAATCTGCTTTCAGGAGATACTTTTTCTGGTCGTATACCACAGGGATGACTGGTAGACACAATTTCCACGCCAGCAGTAACCCTCCGAGGCGGTGGTGCTCGTACTGGGCTTGAACGTGCAACAGGCCTTGAGCGTTTGGTTTCCGGTTCGCCTTCGCCATCCGACCTCTCTATGAACCTCGCGTGAATAACTTTAAAATCGGGAACTTGTTTCACAGAGAAGCAGGAAGGCCCCTGTTCGCCTGCGAGGACGTCACAGCATAAAATGCCATCTTCAGGAATCCCGAAGTGCTTCATGCAAGCGCTCTTTATATTCTCGATCGCGTATTCTTCGAATTCATAAGAGACGAAGACACGGGCCCCGATGCGGGAGTACTTCTGCAGTTTCCCTGTGACTTCTGCGCTAAGCCTTTGAACTGTGATGGTGTCATCAGGTAGTTCTGCTGCACCTTTCCCCTTTGCTTTCTTCTCTTTCCCTGCCACTCTTTTCTCTTTCATTTTCTTTTGAAAGTTACGCCAATCTTTATCACGCCCAGCCGCCATGTTAATCACAGAGTTTGGCGCCATAATTGATATTAGCGAAAAGGATTATGGGATAACATCAGGTGCGAGGAGCATTTTGGGTTATGGCAGTTCTCGGCTTGTCAAGACGAAAAAAAAAAAAAAAAAAACGTTCCAGACCCTTAAAAAAAATATTCGCCTTAGGGAAAAAAAAAAAAACAAAACAAAAACAAACAAATGAAAACAAAAACCAAAATAAAAATGAACAGTTTCTAATATGAAAACAAATACTCCTTTTAATATTATCTTTTTAAAAATAATTTGTAGTACTTTCAAAAGTCAAACGAATTCAAGCGTTTTAAAAATAAATTGTCTTTAAAAAATAAAAAATACATCTTTAATATTTTCTTTATAGAAAAAAAAATGCAGTAATTTTAAAATTAATCGATTACAAAAGTTGAATTTTCTTGAATTATCAAGAAAATTCCTTATGGCAGTTCTAGGCCACCATACACCACCCAGATTTGTCTAAGGTTTACATAAAATTTACCATTGAAACTCAGGACCTCTAAAGTCCTTCATGGTGTCAACTCCAAGGTAGCATAATATACACACAGCAACAGACTATGCATCAAGTTGTTGCTTACAAGAGTTTCAAGACAAAGGAAAATTACAACAAACCATTACCCTAAAAAGTGGTCATGGTCATTGTCACTTACGAGAGGTTGCCTTGACTGCGAAAATTTTGGTGTTTTGAGAAGGTGGTCGCTTATGGGAGGTGATCGAACATGGAGGTTTGACCGTATTACTGTTGCCAGATTCCACTAGCCACCTGCACAATCCAAACAAACAAACAGACAAACCTGTCTTCATCACTGATATCAGTGTCGATGTCAAATGTGTACATAAAGCCTGAGCAGCCCCCGCCTTCCACTGAGACTCGAAGAAAACTTTCTTTGTCATCTGCAAATATCTTGTGGAGTTGCTACAACACAATAAATGGCATCTTCAGTTCAGTTCCACAAAACTGCAAATTATGCAGTGGTATATTATAGGCTAAAGAATCATTTATAGAATTTGGACGTAGGGTGTCTGAGGGGAATCTGGTTTCTAAACAACAGCTTTTGAAAATATTTTCACTGCATACATGTACTTATAACCTTGGAAATGTAGAGACACTATTAAAGTTTTCATGCAGTCTAATTTTTTTGTTATGGTATGGTATGTTAGCTGTATAAATAATTTATTCCTTTAGAAATGGAATTACCTTCAGGTATTTATAAAATTTAAATATAAAACTATAGATATTAAAAATATCTAACTACCTAACTACTAATTTATATTTAGTAATATGATGACATCAAATAAATATTAAGACATATAAAACTAGAGTGAATTCTGGAATGAAACAAACAATTAAGAAAACCTGCTTTACAAGGAAGACATGTATTAATGACAGTACAAACAAAAAAATTCATGAGCTTTGCAGTCAAAACCAGAGTCAATACTGAAATTTTTTAGCTTGAATTTGAATACAACAATTGCAATTGCATCTGAGGGACAGAAATAGCATTCGAATAAAGAAACAAAAATAATATATTGCTCATGCACAAAAATATTTTCACGTTACCTTTGAGTTTTATGGTTCTTAAACCAAGGATGAGCCAAATTTTCCTCGGCAAAAAAATCTAATTTTACAGAAAATTGTGTCGAGCATGGACAGTGTAGTGAATTTCAAGGACTTTTCAAGACCTTATAAAGAAATCAAGTACTTTTCAAGGACTTTAACCAAATTCAAGGACTTTTCAAGACGACTACTAGAGTTCAAGACCTTTTGAAGATTGTACGAACTATGTTTTAAAAGGCAAAAAATGCCAGTAAGATACATTGCAGCTAGATGAAATTTAGTGTGAGTTCCTGAATTGGCTTTCATTAATTTTAGTGGACTGTCGCTTTATAATGGAAAAAAATTACCGAATTCATAAGCATAATGATGGGTTTACCTGACAACATGACAAAAGTATATGGCAATTGTCAAATGTGGAACTCTGAGAAAAAACATTAATCTTGTTTAGTTTTTCACTGTATTATTCTAGCTTGAAACTATGGTAAACTGACAGAAATTCAAAAAACCATGTCTGTCTCCAGAAATGACCAGTATTTACAGTTTTTTTGTTCTTTGTTGTTGAATATATGAAAATTTTTTTTTCAATGTAATACACTCATCATGTTGCTGGCACACTTACTTATTTTCCTCTATAGATCGACGATCGACAGTGTGCCAAACAATTTTGACTAAAAAAAATTCTAAAAACTCTCATTATGTTAAAATCGCAAAACTTTTCACAGAGGTTCTTGTAGCAACGTGCAGATTCAATTAGATTTTTTTTCCTCATGGACATGAAGAGACCATAGGGCCATTTACATGAGGAAAAATAAGACGCGTCTTACATAAGGATCATCTTAAATAACACGCGAACTGTACCATTTATGAGAGCATGTCTTATCTAAGACAAGAACAGTTCGTATAAATGGTTCGCGTCTTATCTCTGTCCTTGACTCGTTTTCATGTCAATGTTGCCCATGGCAACAGCAATCCAACATGGGGTGCCAAAAATTAACGCATGCGTACTATGCGTTCGCGTCTTACGTAAGACGCGAAGGTCATTTGTACGAAGTTTTTCTCGTCTTAACTAAGACGCGTCTTATCTAAGAACAGGTGTTAAGGGCTGTTCTAAAATAGGACGCGTCTTAGCTAAGTCGCGTCTTATTTTAGACGAAATGTGCCGTTCATACGGAAAGTTCGCGTCTTATTTTTCCTCGTATAAATGGCCCTAATATTTGCTTGCAAAGCGTGGAGATAAAGTTGAACCACACTTTCTTGGAAATTGAGAGCATTTCAACGTTTTATATTTATCTAAAGCTCTGAGGAACTAGAATATAATAGTTAAACAGCATGGAGATTAGACAACCTGACCTTTACGCAGCTCTCACTGAGCTCCAAATCTGGCGAAGCTTCTTGATTCTGAGGTATACTTCCTTCCTTTATCGAAGAACACTGTCTGACAAGCTGGTAATGTTTATAGGGAAGACATACACAACGACTTACGACAGGGATCAAACGGTATTTTCTGGAAAATGTTGCAAGATTGAGTGACAAAACTGTCCTCCGAGCAAAGAACGTCGCCATTTTCTCTCATACCAATGGTTATTCTTTCATGTTACGTGCTTGGTAACCACTCCTTGTTTTTCTCCCTTTCGGGTTTTTCCCTCCATTTCATTTCTCCCTGCATTTCTCATTATGACGGACGGCGGAAAGCAGAAGCACGGGAGAAGCGCAAATCATTTTCGTAAAAAGACATCGGCTACAGCGGTTCGGATGGGGGAATACAGTACAGTGAAACCTCTATGTGCGACCACCTCTCCTAAGCTACCACCTATTCAGAACACCAAAATTTTCCCACCACAACATCTATATTTAGAACCCCCAGAAAATGACCACCCCTCTTAAGTGACCGCGACCATGTTTTACTTGACAGTTTTCCACTGTTTCTAATCTCTTGTAAGCGACCACTTGACTAGCTGTGTAGCTGGCAGGATTTGCAGAGCTCGGTTACCAGCCGCTGTTCGGGCAAATGAGCCCGCAAAGACCGCAGCCGGGAGACGGCGGAAATCGAGCCTTCGCATGGTGTGGTATCTATGTTCGCTGTGTGTAACACGCCACTCAGAGTTTACGAAGAAATTTCAGTAACAATATGAAACTCGGGGAACTACACGAATAAGAAACTTAGAAATTGCATGAAATAAATTCTCTGTCGGAACCTGTTCTCGGATGAGAGCCCTGTCTCCCATGGAATTCTCGTAAACGACCACGTCCCGTAAGCTACAAAGAAATCTTCGCGTCTGGGGTGGTTGCTTACGGGAGTTCGATTAAAAGTAACAGTTTTTTTTGAGAGAATCTGGTGTCGTGCATGTATAACTCACTTTATTTCCTTATTTTTTCTTTCAGTAAAATGAACTTGATAATAAATTGTACACTTCATGTTAAAAATAATTCTTTTTATAATATTACTTAAATCTCTTGTTTTCTGCATAATTATGTTTTAGAACTTTCTAAACATAACTTTGAAAACAATACTTTGGCTCAATAAGTTTTTTCCATTACAAAAGACGTTCAATATGAAAATCATCTTCCTAGCTACCAAAATCACGTCAAGTAGCCTAGTTCTCTCATGTATGGAAAACAAAATTATCAAAATATTTCTCTTCCAGTGGGGCAGTTATCAAGCTTAAAAATGACTTTTAAACACATAACTGGGGTGCTCTTAACAATCACTCAGTCTTATCGAAATTTAAAATGAGAGAAGTAAAGGAAACTGACCTAGATAAATATGTGCAGAATTACGACTGAAACATAAATACAAAATCTGCGTAAAATCAAGTAAAACGATCCTAACACAGAGGAAAGGCTTCCACCGTTTCTTCTGTTTTATCTGTTTTATTTAAAATGAGAGCAGGAAAGGAAACTGACCTGGATAAATACGTGCACAATTACGATTGAAACGTAAATAAAAAATGTGCGTAAAATCAAGTAAAAATAATGATCCTAACACAGAGGAAAGGTATCCACCGTTTCTTCTGTTTTATTTGTGTCTGGGCTTCGGGACATCGTTCAATTAAACAAGTAATCCTTGAAAACACAAGAGACGCACTTGTCGAACGTTCTTAATATAGCTAAACAATGTAGGAAGAGCAATCTTCAAAAACGCAAAGGTACAAGGGAAGGCTTCTTGCATCGTGACTACAGTAGAAAATCCTAAGAAGCTGCTGGGTACGAGGTAGGGTTTTGTTCTAAGTAAAAAGCAAGGACAATAGGCAATTTCCGATTTGTCCTAAGCCTCTTTAACTGTAAGTAAGAACTCGTTTAAACGTGTCCGAGCGTCCCCGATCGAATTGGAATTTGGAAGTGTTGGTTTTTGGGGAGAGGGGAAAACCGGAGTACCCGGAGAAAAACCTCTCGAAGCAAGGGAGAGGACCAGCAAAGCGAGGCTAAGTGAGAAGCCATTGATATGAAAATAATTTTTTTTCTCATGCAAATAAAATTCATTTTCACGGTAGAGACTTGATTCCATAGCTCAAAAGGAGGTGGCGGTGGCCAGCGGTTTAAGTGAACACAAGGTTTGAGTGAGGGTGCTCAGTCTCGCGGGCTCACAAACCTCCTTTTGAGCTATGTAATCTAGCCATTTCCTATTTTCACGAATGAAAGCTTTTGAACTTAGCCTCGCTTTGAAAGTGAGAGTTTGTGGAACTCAGAAATGGCTCATTGTTTACTCTGCGTCAACTGTGTGAAAGGTCAGTCTCCTCTTGGACTGTGCCTCTATAATATCTTCCGATTCATCAAGCTCATCTAAATCTTCCACATCTTTTGGTCCGATATCATCTTCCTCCAGCTCATCCTCAAACATCTCCTGTAGAAGAAGGTCGGCATTTTTCTTCTGCTGGCTCGGCATTTTGAATCTTAAACCGGTGTCCAGTGCGAGGTGTTCTACTGACCTAAAACCATTGCTTCCCTGATCTTTTATCACCTCATCGGTGTCGTCGAGAGAAAGAATCGACGCCGCTCTATCTTTCACTGGGCACCTAGAACCGGTGATTAAATCGTGCTCAATCAGTTTTTACAGAACCAGGGGCAAACGCATCTTCAATAGATCCCTTCACAGTTTTTTCACTAGACTGCTTGCAGTCCTCCTTTTCTTTTAAAATCCGTCCAGCTCTTATCTCATCCAGCGCGATTGCAAACCACGATGTCTTGGGGTTTCGCGTGCAGTAACTTTGCAAAGAAAAATAAGAGACTGCTCGCAGTCTATTTTTTCACCTTTTTACTGGGACCAGTTAGCGAAAATCCGTCAACACGCCTGGAAAGAACGCCCTTAAAGGCGTTGTTACCCGGGACGATTCGCAAAGACGATTTTTAGCGCCCCACAGGGTTGCAATGCTGCAGCAATGTTGTAACCATTCGAAACAATGTCGCGATAATGTGGCAACGCTGTGTTGCGCTAAAAATTGTTGTTGCGAATTGTCTCCTGTAACATCACCTTTAAATCAGCAAAGTCGCCAAGTTTTGAAAGTGGTTCAGTTTGAAAACGAACGAAGATATAGCTCCCGAAAGTCGCTGGATTTTACAGACGTTGGTATGGTGGCGGGTGGTGAAACATAATAGTTACAAAGAATACTTACATCCCCACGCCTATGCCTTTTTCTTGTATCTTTTTGTTGAACACAGTTTCTATTTTGCCGTGCGTGAATGAATATTCCAACATAAACGCTTCTAAGATGAACGCCACAAATATACTGAAAATCAAAGAAAAATAGTTTTTTTTAACTAATTACAGTCATAATAGTTTCCCTTGATTACTTTTAAACTGACCTGTATCAAGTGGTCACCTCTATTAAGCGGTTGTGGTCACTTTTTCCGAGGTGCCAACGAGTGGTGGGCCAACAATGTTGGGAGTTGTTGTGCCCGTGTTGGTAGTGGTGTGCAAACGGATGCAACAACTCCCAACATTGGTGGGCGGAGAATGTTGGGAGTTGTTGTGCCCGTGTTGGTAGTGGTGTGCGAACGGGTGCAACAACTCCCAACATTGGTGGGAGGAGAATGTTGGGAGTTGTTGTGTCCGTGTTGGTAGTGGTGTGCAAACGGATGCAACAACTCCCAACAACACGCAGCAACAAGCAACAGGGTGTGCAGACGGACGCAACATGTAAAATCCAACAATGCTGGGAGTTGTTGGCCAACAATGTTGCGTCCGTTTGCAGGGGGGGTTTAGTCGTCTCTTACTCTTACTTTTCTTTTAACGCCATAAGAAGTAGAAACACTATGAAGTCACTTTAAATTTTGTCGTGTGATGGATATTTCGCTTTATTATCTTCATTTTTTTTTATTAAAGCTCCTAGGGTTGTTAAGCCTGTATAATAACCATCAACCTGCATCAACGGTCAGTTAGCCATTCCCACGCTTGGGTGACCGCATAATACAGGTTTAACTGTAAATGGAGGCAGGCTCAACAGCGTACGCAAACTGTTGCACCTCAAAAAAGGGTTTTTATGTCGTTTCTGTTTAAACAAAAACTGTTGATATCAAGTAATTGACGAAAATTGACGGCTTATAATACAACGCTGACAAGCGACGGCTATATCTAAAAAAAGTACTCACTTGAGAACCACGATAACACAGAAAAGATGAAATGACAGGAAATAAATCCTCGCAAACTTGTTTGTAACATGAACATAACCTTGAGTTATAACTGGAAGCATGTTAAAGATATAATTAAAATGGTAAAGTGACAGAGGAATTAAAGAAAACAAACAAGGCTATACAGAGGCCAAATGAAATTTGGTACCATAGAGAAATTTTCCCGCGCTTTACATATGTTTACCGCGCTTGGTAACGGGTGTACGTGTGCTCTCTTAATAACTAGTTCCGAACATTTTCAAAAAACTCTAAATATTTCGTAAAATTTTTCTAAATATTTCCGTCGCAGAATTCCCTAAATAGAGAGCTTAAGCAGCGACGACGTACCTGGAGCCGCGCTATTCAATAACGAAACAAACTATAAATTCAAGTTTAATCTTAAATAAACAAAAGTAAATTGATTCAAAGGATACTGTGCCATTGATTTACAACCATCAAATCAAACAGAACCTTGAACGATCTCAGAATGTCATTAAAATTGTTATTACAATAGCGATCCGCATAAAAGTCAGAACCATTTAGCTTGATATTGCCACAGAACTCAGTGACATTTTCTTCACTCGTTCCGTTGCTATCAGATGAAGGGTAACTGCTTTCCGATTTGATCAAACCACCGAATAACTCCATTCCCAGAATGGCATACATGTAGTACAAGACCTACAAATAATATAAACGAAATACATTTTAGAACGGAGTGGGTCCAGAATTTTTAATAAGGGGTCCAAACATTTCGCTAGGTTCAACCCTAGGCCTGGTGCCGACCACTAACATGAAAATGAATAGCCTGCGTAGCAGGCGCTTGGAAGTAGTGAGCGAAAGAAAGAACGGGCGCGCGAGAGGGAGACACGCCTCTCCCCTCGCGTGTCTCCCTCTCACGCGCCCGTTCTTTTTTGCGCCCACTACTTCCAAGCGCCTGTTATGCAGGCTAGAAAATGAAGTAAATTTGCGTGTGGATGAGAGTAAAGACTTCTGGGATAGCCTGCGTAGCAAGCGTTTCCGTGCGGTTTCGGAGCAAAGAACGAGGAACGAGAGTCAAATACCGCGCGAAAAATAGCGCAAGTAACCCTAACCATCCCCCTCCCCGCTAAGTTTCATTTTTTGGCTCTCGTTTCGTGCGGTTTCGGAGCAAAGAACGAGGAACGAGAGTCAAATACCGCGCGAAAAATAGCGCAAGTAACCCTAACCATCCCCCTCCCCGCTAAGTTTCATTTTTTGGCTCTCGTTTCGTGCGGTTTCGGAGCAAAGAACGAGGAACGAGAGTCAAACACCACGCGAAAATAGCGCAAGTAACCCTAACCATCCCCCTCCCCGCTAAGTTTCATTTTTTGGCTCTCGTTTCGTGCGGATTCGGAGCAAAGAACGAGGAACGAGAGTCAAACACCACGCGAAAATAGCGCAAGTAACCCTAACCATCCCCCTCCCCGCTAAGTTTCATTTTTTGGCTCTCGTTTCGTGCGGTTTCGGAGCAAAGAACGAGGAACGAGAGTCAAACACCACGCGAAAATAGCGCAAGTAACCCTAACCATCCCCCTCCCCGCTAAGTTTCATTTTTTGGCTCTCGTTTCGTGCGGTTTCGGAGCAAAGAACGAGGAACGAGAGCCAAACACCACGCGAAAATAGCGCAAGTAACCCTAACCATCCCCCTCCCCGCTAAGTTTCATTTTTTGGCTCTCGTTTCGTGCGGATTCGGAGCAAAAAACGAGGAACGAGAGTCAAACACCACACGAGAAATAGCGCAAGTAACCCTAACCATCCCCCTCTTCCCTCAGTTTCATTTTTTGGCTCTCGTTCCCTTTCTTGTGCCGCCAAAACCGAAAATCCCGTTCCTCGGGCTTTCTTTGTTCCGAAACCAAACGGAAACGCTTGCTATGCAGGCCAATAGCTGACCAGTGCGTCAGTCTCCGATAGCGTTCCCAGAAGTCTTTACTTGAACCAGTTTCCTCCTCTTTTCTGACCTCACGGCGGCCATGTTGGTCATGTTTTCATGCAAATTCTGCGGCGAGAAATTATATTTTTTGGACCTGTCATCGCTCCCATGCCACGTGGAAGCAAACAAAGAATATGAGTGAAAAGGTGCGCACTTGAACCGGGTAAAGGTAAAACGAGAATGACCTAAAACCTTCTTTCTTCGTAGTAGTTTAACGTATGTTTTATTGGAAAATTCGAAAGGGCCAAAGGACGTCATTAAGCAGTATATTTTAAGAAGTGACGAGCAACCCAAGTTTCAATTTTAAAGAAAATTTACAAGCATTTTATTTAATAACACAGATATTAGACTTACGAACATAATTGCACCATACGTGCCCATTGCCGGGCCAATCTGCATGACGGTTCCAACAACGACCTGAAATCTGGCCAAAAAGTGACATGAAAAAACGAAGAAGTAATACAGTTAAACGCTTTTTATACGGTCCTTGAAGGGGGCCATAGAAAGTGTCCGTATCAAGCGGATCATTATTATTAGTTAAGTAAAAAATACACCTATTGTTTGAAAAAATACTAAAAAAATAAAACAGGACAATAGCATTGTCCCTAACTTCACAAATTCATCATTCAGAGGACTATGTGGACATGTTTGCAGGCTAGGCTCGATTATATTTCAAAAACAAATGGGAGCGTTTTACCGGGCTACCAAACATGGAAAACTGAAAGCAACAGGCCCCAGCGTGCCTTCCTTATTTTCGAGTGTCTTGAAACTCAATGAAACCTTAAGGAAGAGTCTTTAAAAGAACTTCTCCAGTATATATAACTACAATACGTAATTGTACAGCCTTATGGAACTTAGGCGGTCATTTGCCATATAAATTGCTTGTCTGTTGAATCCTTAGTCTTCTGTAAACATCACACTGACACAGTTGCCGTGTGTCTACTGTGAGTGAACGTATTATGTTTGTTCATAAAATAAACGAAAAAGAACAAATTTAACAGACGGCTAATTTTTTTTTGGGAAAAAAGAAAGAAAAGTTTGTGCGGCAAGCTCTCCTCCTAAGTCTGAACATTATAAAAATAAATTTTCAGTTAGGACTTTTGAAAAAATTACCAGAAATTCCTTTTTAACAAAGAACACTGATTACTTAGACCTGGTGGCCTCAAAAACGTTGAGTAGCATAACGAAAAATGTATCCTCCGAAAACAAAACGGTTCATGTCATGTATGGATAAAAAGAACTGAAAAGTGAAAAGTTGGATTTGACTTCGCTGAGACGCGTCAGATATTTATTACATGTAACAGCTGAAAATTTTTAAAAAGAAATCCGACGAACCGTTTGATTTGACCCATGATCTTGACCAATCTAAGAACTCGAAGGACCATGAGAAAATCCAACACGCCTTGACTCGACTGCACTATTAAAAGAGAAATAACAAATATATACAGTCAACGCTCTCTAAGAGGGACACAGTTGGAAATGGTACAAGTGACCGTCTTATACTAGAGTGGCGTAAAACTAATAGACAGTCAAAGATATGGTTATATTGAGATTGAGGATCAAACTTTCTTTACTTCTTTCTGTTTTTTCTGTCTTTCTCCCTTTTAGTCTTAATATACAAAACTTTGGGTCAAGTTGCAAGAAAAAGTGGCCAGTGAAACAGGCTGCAAAAGGTCGTAAGTTGAAACGGAGTTGAATGAGTTATCGTGTTAAATGATTATAAGTATATCACTGTTACATGAATTCCACCTACACGATTCATAAGAAGTTTCAATAATGAGGGCTAATGTTGCACTGCCTATGACTAAAAAATCAAATCTGAAAGAACAAAATATAGAACAGTCGTTAAATAACTTAACAAAATGGAGATAAAATCGCTAACTATATTTCAAGTGTTTGTCACTCTAGAGTGACGTTTACGGCAGGCAGCAAACGTTAGATTCAAGTTGAGAATTTCTCAAGAGAAAACGTGCAACTAACAACAATCCAAAACAACTGTTAAAGACAAAACTAACGTGAAGGTACTAATTTGGGGGTAGAAGTAATGAACAGGAAAGCACAAGAAGAACAAGTTACATGTAAGGGAAAACTTGGTCACGTGGTATAAATTCACATTTGCCCAGTTCCAGTGCCGTAAAGCGCTACTCTAAAAATTTCTATTCTCGGTTTTCACATGACGTCACCAAAATTCAAACTAAGAAACTATCGATTCTTCTGAGTTTCTGAGTTTCATGAGGTATTACAGCACCTAAACACCTTTATTTAAACAGAGTTTTGGTTCGAAAGGGTTCTTCGTTTTGCGATAGAGGACGTTTGAATTTCTAGGCTTTTGCGTGACGCGGCATTTAGCTGGCGGCCACAACGGCTCTTATGTGGGTTAAAAACATTACCAATTTTGGGAGATTTTGCTGTCTAAACATTCTTTGTCTCAGAATAAATATCACTTTAATAGTTTATGAGTTTTTCAAGCGATGAATTAACGCATTAGTAGGAAAAATCAAAAACAGATGTTTCTGTTGGTTTCCGGCGGCCATATTTGTGCCCCGCAAAGGGACACAAACATGGCGTCGCCATACAAAGCTTTGTAAATTTGGGTAAAACGTTTTTCCTAATATCTCGCATATGAAATATCGCACAGACCTGATTCTTGGCGAGGCCTTTTGCTTATTTATCTTCTTTTATTTCCTAGATTCGGGACTTTCTGTATTGAATGGTTTGCAATTTTATTTTTGATTGCGTGACAGTGAAAACCGAGAATTGACCATTAAAGGAAATGATAAAGTGTATTTTGCTGGCCAGGAGACTAAGAGAAGTCTGAAAAAACAAAGTACAAACTAGTAACTTTGAGCACAGGAGATTCAGTTGAAATAACAGATTAAAAGTGAGTGAATACTAACATGTTCCAGTATCGAGAGAAGAATTCCTTGAAGCCATAAGTATACAGCTTAAGTAATATTTCTATATTGAATAGAACCAGGAACAGAACCTCCGCATCGTTTCGCTCCAGCGCGATGAAAATGGCATTGGCAAAGATTACTAAGTCAAAAAAATACACAAAATACCTGAGCAAAAAGAAAGAAATGAAAAACCACATCAACATCTACATTGTATACCTGTCAACATTTTAATCAGATAACGCACTGATCACGTTGATGTTCAGCACCTTATTTAATAAGTACCTTATTTAATTCATTACCTTATTTAATTTTTGCATAATCTACCAGTCTTGTTATCCAACACCTTAAATTTGCGGGAACAGTTCAGAGGTATGTACCAATAAGGCATGGGTGTTCATGCAACCGCGCTTTAAGGAAGAGGTTGAGAAGATTAAAGAGGCTGTTCACACTTGATTCACTAGCAATAGCAGCTTAGTACCAGCGCAAAACAGTGTTGTGTCCACACGTCAGAAACACGATATGTAACTGTGAACATATCCTCTCCATTTCGCCCTGACAGACGCCACATTGAAAACTGATCGTAGCAGGGAGTCATGGGTATGGTATGCACAGCACTGGGATACCAAACATGTGCACACAGGTACCCAGTGCCCTAGAGCCCACATCAGGGCGAGGGACGTAGCCTGCTTTTCGACTATTTGTAGGCCTGGTTGACTTTCATTTCCACATATCCTGAAAATTGCATGCATGACAAGTACGCACTGACCTCACCAACACTTTGATTTCTTAAGCTTTTCAGCTCACCCCAACAACGCATAATTTATTGCAAGCGGCAGAGTACAGGTCTATGGCCTGGCTACGCCCCTGCACTTTACTTCCCAAGTACAAGACCTCAACCTTGTGCTCCGGCACCGGTACCTTCTGGCGTGAGTACTCGGGTTCACCTCTCACAGTATTGGCTTGGTACACCAACATGGCCACTGTTCCATTTTAATGATACACCAAGGCGACGGCAACGATAACAGCAAAATAGTAACAGGCTTAGATTAGCAAAGTAACAACCGTTGGAATTGCGTATTTTCTGCTACCGTTGCACGACGACGAGCAAAAATTTTCTAATTTCACGCAGTGTTGTGGAGTATGTGAACACAAGATAACGATCTTGTTTTTCTTTTCCTCAATTAACTGAAATTTAAGTCCAAAAAATTCGCCAACATTTGACAAAATGAACTAGGTGGAATAAAAGCGATGAAGTTCAAAACAGCGCGAATGCACTTTTTTTAAGTGAAGGTTTCCCTGCCGCGGTCACCCCCGTGGTTGCTTAAGTTCCCTTTTACGCGCACCGTGACCGAGAAACAAAGGTGAGATGTTCCACGAGACGATTTAGCCTGCGTGCAAGCGTTTCTGTGCGGTTTAGGAGCAAAGAACGAAGAACGAGAGTCAAAGACCGCGCAAAAAATGTTTTGGCACTAGTTTCATTTCTCGCCCGGCCAAAGCCGAGAATCCCGTTCCTCGACCTCGGTCTTTCTTTAATTTGCTCCGAAACCAAACGGAAACGCTTGCTACGCAGGCTAGAGACGATTCACAACGACTATTTTTACCTCAACAAAGCGTTGCAATATTGTTGCAACACTGTTTCGAATATTTACAACATTGTTCCAACATTGCAACGCTGTGATGCACTAAAAATCGTCGTTGCGAATCGTCCCGTGTAACATCACCTTTACGGAGCTTCGACTACTGACATGTTTACAAATAACCCGGCATTTGAAAACGCCGTAACACAGAGTTAGAACTAATAGGAAATGAAAGACCCAGGTAATAGGTAATTTCAGTTCGGTACAATCGTTTTCAACTTACTTGTGGCAAATACAAACACGAATCTTCGCACTAACACGGGAATTATAGATTTTTGGAATGACCCTCTCCAGTAGGGTGACTTGATCTTTTACTTCAATGACTTTAACATTCATAACATCAGCCGCCATAAGGAAATCCTTTTTACCTATAAAACGAGAAATGGAAAAATAATTGTTTTATCATATATTTGAATTTGTAAGCAAAGGACTGGCGATAATTCAGGAATAATTTTTGAAACGTAAGAAAAAGAACAAAAGCCGAACCAAAAAGTGTTTTTTGGACGTGAAAAAAGCCAAAATTTCAAACACATTTGGGAACAGTCAAGCATCAACTTGAAAGGTATTTCTTTTTCTTTTTTTCTTTCGTTTCTGATATTGTAAAAAAAAAACAGATCACAGAAGGTGTCAAAATGTGGTAAGAACGTCATTCAGTGGTTCACTCGCCGCCACTTCTTTCTTCTTGCCACATTTGTGCGCAAGGAGAGATTTAGAAACACGTTAGCGCAAACGATAAACGTTAAAAAAAATATGACGTTTACCCAAGGCGTGATACTAAATCAATTTACTGTTTACAATAAATATATAGCGTTTTCACATGACGTCATGGTGGCCATATTGGTGTTCCAAAACAATGACACGCGGCCATGTTGGTATTCCAAACCATCTTTTTGTTCCTAAACATTTTTTTGTTCCTAAACATTTGCAAAGATGCTGGTCACGTGAATGAAACCGCTCTACACTAATACATGTAGGAAGTCCACAGACATCGCTCCTTGACAACCAGTTCCCAGCGACTCTCTTCCTCCCATCCAGTGAGGCTCTGGGAACGACGTAGGCATTTTGGTAAAGCGCCACTCCAACATACCTATCTTGCCATCGTTATTGTCGTCAAGGACTTGCCATAACAAGGCTACTCTTGCAGGACTCCATTGCGGACAAGCCTCTTGCAGGAGTGTTCGCCATCTTTGCTCTGTGATCACCCATTTCTCATCACACCAGACTTTTAACATATCATATGCCTGCTTGAGCTGTCTGCGTTTACGATAAACTGATGCCCGAATTTCATTCTAAAAAGATAAGAATTTGAAAATTAAGAACAAGCGTAAAGCGGCTTTAGTCAGTGAAGCAGGCGATTGAGAAAAATTCCTAGTTCTCCCAAGAAGAAATGAACCAATGACCTGCTGGACACTGATGCAGCCAGCATTCCTCTTTTCTCAATAAAAACTGAGGCCCGTCCTCACGCGCGCCGGGCATATCAGTTTTTATTGAAAACGGACATTTTTTCTTCGGTTTGGTCGACATGTACCCGATGAAAACTGTCACCAAAAACACATCTTTTCTCTCCAGAGTGGAAAATTTTTGAAAACGCCGGCTTCTCGTCTACCTATGGACAGACGAACACGGAGGTTCTCTCGGGTAATGCATACGAGGAACACAATCCCTAAGGGCTGTTGTCATTCATACGGCCCCTGCAGAGAAACGTACAACTGGTTTGCAGTATAATTTCAAAAATTATGTCCAAAGGAACTAGCGAGATAACTTAGGGGTTTAACATTCTCGACGCAAACCGTCCATAAAATTTGCTGGGGATTACTGACATGCATGTCAGAGGGAAACTGGAAAAATCGCAGCAGGTAGGCAAATGAAACCAGTGCCCCATGCCGTGAAATACACATTTCTTGCACTTTGGCTCCGCTTGTAACCTTTTCCCCGCTCTCCACTGCCTGTTAGAGTTAGAGCCTCCCGAACAAAAATACGTGGATCCGCCTATGTAGCCAACAGGGAGCTCTAGCAATGACGATGGCGACAGCAATGAGGAAGTCAAAAACAATATCTTTGCACGTGCAGCACACTTTATTAAATACAATTCTTTGCCGTCACTCCATGACTACAACGTGAAACTCCCTCACGGGACGTTTTATGGAGCAGAAGGCAGCAAACACACCACCACTAGACTACGAGCAGTGTCTGTGTTTTCTTAGTCCGTGTAGCGACACGCGCGCGACACACAAATGACCACGGGGACGAGCGCGTGCACTTCCCTCACTAATCTGAAAAAGAGAGACTGCTCCCAGTCTACACTATCTCTCCTTCTAAAATTGGGTTCGGTCCCCAAGAATTTAATTTCAGCGAAATTTACCTGTAGTACATTTGGCATTTTAAGAAAGCTGAAATAATGGCGACAAACTTTGATAAAACGCAAAGGTTTCTTAATAGTGACGTTTTCGCTGCCGTCGCCTTCATGGTTGCTTTAAACATGCCTACAAGTCGAGCTCAATTTTTCTTCACGAGCGCGAAAGGCGAGCGATAGATTTTTTATGTTTTCTGCGGAAAAAGTACCAGAACCGGAAATGAGAAGCGAAGGACTTTGAGAAAGTCTATGGTTGCTTAAGCTTCCTATTTTTCAGTACCGTAGCTGAAATGGCACTGGGCATTCTGGAGTCTAAACGAATAAAGAAAAGGGATTGAAGAAGTAAACGCGTGGAAGGGAAGAAAATAATACTCCACCATAACTGAAAAGTAGACAATATTTAGAACAACTTAACGGTAATCTACCTTTAAATGCTTGCGGTAGTTCTTGTACACAACAGCCAGAAAAATGCTGACAAATATATACATGCAGACAATGATGAAAATGACAAAGAACAAACTGGACCAGGGATTGTTGTCATATGCAGGCATCCTGTTCAAATAAATAAATAACGAAGTTATTTTCACTGGACTTTTCTTATGACCGGTTTGATATTTTTTGCCTTAAATATTATGAAAACTTGATCTCTCTCCTATAATTCGCATTTCAAAATGTAGCAACTTTATAGGCCTGTTTCACCTGTCAAACGTCTGGACACCACGTTCCAAATTCATTGCTTATGAGTTTGGAACAGTACATTTTACTCAGTAACCTGAAAGTAGACACCTACGTAGATGGCGTTTTGATTGCCGAGTGCGCAAATGAGCGGAAAAGCTCGAGGAGAATGGGGAGAAAACACCTTGACACCTGTCCCCATGTGTTGGCGTGTTTTCACGGATTTTTTTTTCCCTCTCGCCAAAGAAACTGCTAACTACTCAGGCTGCCCTCCAGTGCTCAAGTTTTACTATGAAGATTTGTGTTGAAATAAAAGGGTGGTAAACGTATAACTACAGTATGTTATGCGCTTTTGATTACATTAGTATGGAAAAAGGTGCGTTATAAATTTTGGTTTCACGTTGCACTGTTTTGCGAGATAGTTGAATGATTTTGAACTAAAAGTGGTCTCGTTCTTTGGCAAAACATTTTGATGCGTGTACAGAACGTAAACAAAGCAAATGGATTACAATATCACACCCCTCCCATCCCAACCCCTCTTTCCAACCTCACCCTTCCCACCCCTCGCCTTTTCCATGCCTATTTCCCTATACTTACAAGTAACTAGTAAGTAATATTTCAAACTTACATAACATCTGGGTTGTTGGCTGTAGTTGTCAGAACATACAACAAAAAAAAGACATCTAAGTAGTTTGTAAAGTATGGCTTTCCATGGATGTCTTTAAGATTTCTACAACAAACCAAAAACACAAACAAACAAATTCAAAGGCAAAAATAAAAGAACCCAGGAGTGAAAAACGATTGGGCCCTCTTGCAAATGAACTAAAAAGGCCAATGTCTGACACGATTTTTAAAAGGAATTTGAATAAGTTTTTATGTGATTTGTCTCAGGTTAATTTTTTTATATTTTTATCATAGTTCTAAATTTTTATGCTACTCACTGTTTTTAGACTTTATATCCTAGAGGATTTTTCAGTTATTTGTTTCTGCACTTTCTTTAATAGGACCCCCATGAAAACCACTTTAAGTGATGGAGGTCTCCTCTTAAAAGAAGACTTTTTACTTTAAGTATTATTATTATTATCATTTAAGAGAAATAATACAAATGGAGGGAAAGGACACATCTATCATTCTAAGTAAAACAATTTGTTTACAAAATTATCTAAAATGTTGCCCAATTAGAGCCTAGTTGTATCTCTCACAATTTGAAATACCTTTTGCCAAACAGCTTACATCCCAGCAAAGTAAACAATGCAATCATAAGAAGTAACAAAATAAGAACATTTGCAATCTCTGGAAGTGTTTTCCTAATGTTTCTAAAAGCTCTTCTAATCTGAAAGAGATCAAGAACATCAGAAGACAGTCATGTACAGTCAACTCTCTCTTAATGGACACCTTTATAAGATGGACACCTCTGTAAAACGGACACTTAGAGTTGGTCCCTGCCTTTCTTTTCTCCTTTTATTTGACTCTATAAGACGGACACCTCTCTAAGATGGACACTTAGTGCTGGTTCCAAAGGTGTCCGTCTTAGAGAGAGTTGACTGTACTTATTTTTAAAAATATGAAATAAAAAGGTATATTTTTAATATTATTATATTTTCAACATGGAAAGCCTGACCATTTGAAGCGATGACCTATCTTTTTTCTTACCTGAATCTCTATCAATATATAATATTAGTACTACATACACTATAGGAAAGGAGCAGCAAAAAGTAGAAGGGGCATGAAAAAATGAAAATGGGGGAAAGGTTGAGAGTTCCCTTGCCACTCTCCCCAGTCCCTCTCTATTTTTCCTTGCTTTCTTTCCACCACCACCTATTATCTGAATGCCTGGAAGAGGCTATAACAATCTTCACCTGTCTCCCCTCGCTGATATTGACAAGAAAAAGAGGACGAAACACACGAGTCCATCTTACGGCGTGAACTGGGAGTTCAGCCTCTTTGAAGATGATGTACATAATCATGTCAAGAAATGTGAGCTGAAAGAAAAAAAAAGTGTCAGAAAGAAGCCGATTTCTTCATGCGTAAAAATAACTTGTTATCTCACACATGAAAAGATTGCCATTGCTAGGCTACATAATAAATGGCAACTTTCACAGTCTTCAAAAAAATCTTAAGTGAAATGGTTTGGTATTTCATTGGTATTTATATAATAAACAGAAAATTACATGGCCACTTGGAGATATGAAATTTCTCTTAATTCTCAAGCTAAAAAATATTCACGACACTCATTCACTGCACTTTGACACCTATGTTTTTTAACACCGGCAAAGAGAAATTTCTTAACAGCTCACACAACCCAGGCTCATTACCAAATCAATTAAGAAAGAACATCTTATATCCTTTTTTTATCTTTATAACATAATGATAATAAATAATAATAAAGCCAATAAATGGTTTATTGGCATAAATTCATGAAAAATGGCTCCTCTATGCCATATAACTAACAGTACCATAACACTTACTACAAAAATTTAAACGATGAAGAAATCTACTTCAAATGATTGGTGTGGTTGCTATTGTATTGGTGTCTACCCGTGCCACTAAGTTAATAATTTTCTTTTGTTTAAAAATACCATTTGACATTACTTTGCATGTTTGTTACCTGGATCACATACAATCCCTTTATCAATGCACTATCTGAAATAAGTTTTCTTTTTGGTCAGTAAGAATCTTACCACAATGATGGATAAAAAAATAACATTCTTCTTGTCTCTCCAGAATTTTACACCAGCAGCAAAACACCAGACATGGAAAAGACGTAGAATGAAAACAAACAAGCAAAAATATTCCAGCAGCATTGTAGCCTATAAATAATAAAGATACACTGGAATTAATATTTTAAAGATTATAGGCAGTTACTCTGAATATATAACAAAACAAGAGACAAAGTTACTATAACAAGTTTGAGAGAGAAGGTTGTTACTCCACTAGGGGGTATGGAAACCTCTCGGGTGGTTTCTAAATTAAATGCAAAAGTAAGGTAAAATATATTATAAAGGCCTCATTTGATGACATTTTTGCTAATGTTTTAGTTGCCACAATAAGGGGACTGCCATTGGTCAGTCATAGAGCTCCTTGTTAAATTGTCATCATTATCATTTCCATCTCTCTATCCAGGCAGAGAAAAAGGTCATTGACCAAGTTCCTGGCCTTATTTTGCTTTTTTCCTACTATATTTTAGGATTTAATAATATCTTGACTTACCCAGTATGGTAACCCCATGCCAGGGACAGCTGGGTCTTCAAAGAATGCTAAACAGAGAAGTAACCATGCACAGAAATACACAATACCACGAAAAACTGGCTTATTATACACCTTGTAAAGCCTACAAAAAAATCCAGTGAAGAAAACATAAGCATGACCAACGGTTGAGAAATGCAAACAAAATGATACATGTCTATTTTTCTGTTTTTTTCTTGGTGTTGCAGAGTTTGTGGGTGGTCAAAGTACTGTTCAGCCTTTTGTTAATCGTCGCGTATCATTATTGAGTGCATCATATCCACAAAATCCAATGAGTTGCACTATGGGGTCTTCGGAATGAGCACAATGATTTCGGCAGGTCTAAACTGGGGGAGGGGGTAAGTTGTAGGGTGTAGGGAGTAAAGAGTAAGGGGTATGGGGGTGAGGGTAGCGGTGAGGGGTGAAGGTGAGGCATAGGAGGTAGGGGGTGAAGAGTAACAACAACAATGTTACATGTATTAGAATTCTCATACAATTTTTACAGAATGAAGATGGGGTGAAGGAAGAACTAATCCTTGCCAATGAGTGTTGCTAACTATGATAAGCTTAATCCTCATATTTTGGAGGAAAAGAAAGTAGAAAGCACTTTTCAATTGCATTTCCAAGGAACAAGGTTCCCTGAATGAAATATTTTATACTTAATAAAGTTTAAATTGTCAACTGTCCAACTTTTCTTACAGTAACTGACAGACTGACACTGTTGTATCTCTCCAGAAAGTGTCCAGATTACCTGTCTTGGACAGAATAAAAAAGAACAGCAAACTCCCATCCCCCAGAAATCAAGCCACACAAAGGGCAAAACGCACTATTTTCCCATCTTTGATTTGGGAGAGGGGGGTCTAAATTTTCCATTTATTTTGTCCAAGACTGTAGCTATGTCCAGGGTTGACCCGTAGGCATAGCTGGATTAGTCAGAGCGCTGAGGGAACACAACGTCCAATAGCGTGGGGATTTCTCCGGTTCTGCAAGAACATTGGTTGTTTCTCTAGTTTTGTTTATTAAAATCACACTGGTTGGCCCGGGGTCGACCCCACGGCCAAGCCGATGACATGTGCAGTTCTCCTGCAAAAACTACTTAATGCGAGATCATATTAGGCTACAGTCACTTACATGCCAGTGAAATATGTAAACCGTAAAGACTGTCATTAATTCTCTTATATGAATTTCAAAAAACAACTGAACCTTAGTTCCTTTGGCGAGGTCTGAAAATAACCATTTCGTCCAAGTCTGGCTTCGTTGACCAATATTCCAGCGAGCAAAATTTCCTGGAAACAAAAGATTCCCATTCAGGACTATATGAAAATTGAAAACATCATCAGTTCGTTATAGAACAGCTTTCTCACCGTTTCATTGAGCTCACTTTCTTCGTTCCGATGAGATTCATCTTCAAGGTCGATGTTTACTAGTTCTGATGCTGTAATAAAACTTACTGATCTGTGCTGTGCTCGTACTTTTTTCAACAGGGCATCCCCATCGTCCGGCGCCATTTGTGCCAGACGCGACCATGACTGCGTGACAGGCGCGAATGCATGATAAGTAATGCAAGTACTTTCGTGACACAATGCGTGACAGGTTGGGCAAAATTGTCTTTCTACCTGAATTTGTCCAAAATTACGAAAGCCGAAGAGAGTCTTCTAACTTCCAACTTCCGACTTCCGACTTCTAACTTCCGACTTCTGATTTCCGACTTCCAACTTCCGTAGCAATGAAAGGCGGTAAAATGCTGCTTGTTCCAAAAACGTTTTTTTTTCCCTTCTGCTGGGTAGATTATGCTCTAGAAGGTTCTGGTTAAGCCGCCTATTACACATTGAGAGGTCATGGCGCACATATCGATGTACTGTGGTTAACCTGAATAACTATGTGACTGTTTTAAGTCCGTAAACATGCAATGCTGTATCACGCTGGGCCCAGCTCGTTAGTTATCTTTGCAGGATGATAAATTATCACGGATAGTGATTTACAGATCCAAAGTGATAATAAAGAAGTGCAGCGTAAAATGAAGCTGCATCAACTATGGAGAATGCATTGTGCTCAAGGTAATTAAGGCATGGGTCCCCAGGTGTTAAGTCAAAAAGTACGGGGGTGGTCTATCTTTCGATACATTAGCAGTGGCAAGCTGAAAACTTGTCAGACACATAAACGGCTAGTTTTTATCTATTTGGTATGCTCCAATTATGCAAATAAGGTCACGTGACACGCCACGCCCAAATAACCTTTGAACTTAAATGGGCAAACATTTTCTTGTTTCCCTCATTTTTCTACTAGTTTCATAATTTTAAGGCCGTTAAGTATGTCATTTCTGCGCTTGGCAATGTCAAGATTTTTTCAAAGGAAAGGCATGTTAAAATGATACATTTGTATTGGGAGACTGGGTACTAGTCGAAAAACCCGTTTATTTTCAAAATAGACGAGATATTTGAAAGTTGCCAAGCACAGTTTTGTAGCGGCTTATATTTTGTATCTTCTTAGGGTAGTAAAGTAAGATAACTCTTGCTAAAAAGTGTGCCCATTTTTTCTTAAAGATATTTTAAAACTTTGAGGAGCTGTAAGGTCACGTGACCTAATTTGCATAATTTTGGTCTGTTTTAAAGCATCAATTTTGGTGTTGTGTAATATTTTTTGGTATTTTCTGCTTCATGATAAACCATTCATATTACAGACCACCCCCCTCATTTTTACAGCAAAATGGCTGTTGACCCATGCCTTAATTTACCTGAGTGACTCAGTAGATTCCAGCTTAGTGTTTTTCTAAAGAAAATGTGAGTCTTTTGACTGGAGCGCGTATTTCCTTCCTTGGTTATAGGTTTTTAATAAGCTTATCACTGTTGTCACTTTGTGATCAGGCAAGACCATGGTCTCGGTTCCCCAAGGAAACTTCACCAGTTGCCTGATTGGCTTTGTGCTTAGTTGCTTTTACAAGAGCAACTTTAGTTGTTCTCTTTTGTGGCTAGACCGGTACAGAGGAGTCGAGTGGGAAGTCGAAAGTTAGAAGTGGGAAGTTGGAAGGGGGAAGTGGGAAGTTGGAAATCGGAAGTCGGAAATCGGAAGTCGGAAGTCGGAAGTCAGAAGTGGGAAGTGGGAAGTAAGAAGTGGGAAGTGGGAGGACAGAAGTCTAACCATGCAGCATTGAGTCTCAACGGTCAGAAATCAGAAATCCGGAGTTCGAACTTTGTCAAGTCTGAAGTCTGAAGTTTGTAGTATGAAGTCTTAAGTCTGAAGCCTGAAGTCGGAAGACCCTCCTCGGCTTTCGTAAAAAATATATTTTCAATCGAAGTTGTCATATTCCTTTCCTTTTCCCTTCCGAACGTGTAAATTATAGTGTGACAACAGAAACGTACGCAACGCCTGGAACGCGGTAGGGCCAATTTAAGACCGTTTCATGGAATTTAGTCAATCAATAGATGTTTCGACAAAGCCAAAGTTAAACCGAAGAATAAAGCTTATTTTGGCAAAAATAGAAGCTTGTATTGAGTTTCTAGGGTGAACACATGTAGTAGATGCTTACAACGTAGTTAATGGCCTGGGAGAGGCTAGCCAACAACGCTTCACACGGGGGAGGCCCCACCTTGCCCTGGCTATTCAAACACTCTGAATAGCGCTATCTCCTGGATAAATCACAATCCAGATGCAGCGGATATTAAAGTATAAGGATAACCAACTCGGTGTTATACATTTTCGTATACCTTCCATTACCTACTACAGTGGAACCCCATTAATACGGTCACCAATGGGCCAAAAAAATTTGGCCGTATTAACGGGTGGGTTTTGTTTACAAGAAAATGTATGGTCGTTTCGCCGGGAGGCCAAAAATGAAAGTGGCCGTAATAACGAGGTGACTGTATTACCGAGATAGCCGTAATACGGGGTTCTACTGTATCATGTAATTTATGTGGCTTTTAATGAATTATTTTTTAGCCCCTGGTAAAGTGCGTTGGTTCGAAATGTTTGAGTTTAAGGTCCTTTTAAAAAACCTAAATGACAAAACCCCCAACCCTTTCATATACGTCAGCTCACGAAATCCCTACCTAGCATGAAGACACGGAATAAAACCAAAGGGAAATTAAAGGTTCAGGAAGCAATCGGAAGGAAAGTAGATATGACTGAAAAATGGTGGAATTGCCAATGTCGTCCATGTAACTTCGATAACTTCTGTTAAATAATTTTAAAATCAATACTCATTGTTTTCCCCGACTTTGTTACAACGGAAAGCCATATCTACAGCCCGCTAAAACTAAACCAAGAGAAATGATTACCTCACTATATTGACAAGTAAACTTAAATTGAATCATGTCACCCGCCCATGAAAACGAACTGTCCGATTGGGAGACGCGTGTTTAGGTGAGTTGCAATACTGTGCGTACCTTTGGAAAAATCTTAGGGTAAGCTTCTTGATTACTGCCCCACTTCTTGAGATATAGAAAAGTTAAAAAATTGAAAAAAACGTTATGAAAAATGATAGGAAATGAGAAACAATACATCTTAAGTAAATTCTCGGATCAGTTTAAAATTCTGAACACGCACATATTTATTAAATGTTTTATGAGCCACTTGTACATCTCCCTTATGCACCTTATTTGCCCCCCAAAATTTTGCATAACCTTTGTTTTTCATTTCTCCTGGGTATTACAGCCGTCCCAAAAGAAATTAAAAACAGTGCTTATGCAAAATATTGGGGACACTTTTAAGGTGCATTATCGCATTATGGAAGATGTGCAAGTGGCATATGCCTAGCTGTATTTTTGAAAACGTTACCGCCAGATGGACCTTCGGATGAAACTGCTTTTTTTCGGTAAAAAATTTCTCCAAAGTAGCCATTATAAAAACTAAGTGTGCAGAATTTCTTTTTCTCTTCTCCACCTTTCTTCCTCGCTCTCTCTTTTTCTCCTTCCTCTTTTGGAGCTTCTCGGGTTCAAAAAACCCGCCTTTTCGGACGCTTTTTCACTCAAACGACTTTTGTTAGGTTGGTTTTAAAAAAATCAGTTAGATGTACATGTACATACATACATGCACTGTACTTTATTGCACAGCTCCCCATTGGGGGGGCTCTTCCGCCATACATGCATGAACTAAAAAAATAATAATAAAATAAATTAGAAAACTATTAACATTTCGATGATAAAATAACATATTAAATAATAATAATAATAATAAGAGCAATATTAAAAAAAATGATAAAATATTAATTTTAAGACTATTTATATTTCAGTAACAAAATGCTATCCTGCATCTATGAATTAAAAAGATTTTTAAAAAATATCTTTTCAAAAACGGTAAGACTTTCTGTGTCTCTTGATAAGGTTTTATACATTTTTCAGTGCCCCACGGAAGGACTCTAAAATGCAATGAGAGAGAAATCTGAAAATGTCTCAATTTTCTGACCCAAAATGAAACCTGCTTAATTGATATTCTGATTGTCGAGCAAACTCTCACCTCTGGAAAGTTCTTTTACCACGCTATTTAGCTCGAAACGTGACACAGCTTCCCGGGGGGATACTCCCCTATGAACTGGCGGGGGTGCTTGTCGGAAAATTTCGAGAACACCCCTAAAAGGTAACAGAATCTTGTTTTATGGGCGTGTCACCTGGTCACAAATTCATTTTCACCCCTAAGACGTACCAATTCAACAACAACAAATAATATAACGGGCACTGCAAATTTTAATAGTAATAAAGATAACTTTCGAACACTGTCTTCTCAAAGACGTTTTGAAAGTATTGTCATAAATCTTTGTCCTAATCAGTCATTTTAGGTTTTAGCTCCCTTAGCGGTACCAACCCACAAATTTAAACCCCTAAAAGGTGCGACGTCCACACCCGTCACTTTTATAGGGTAGTATCCCCCCGGGGCTTACCTATAAAAAGATATAAAATTCATTGGCAGATGGTGCAAAGCTAACATTTTACAGCGCCGCAAAAACTGCCTAATTTTAAATTTTCAAGACGTGCAAATTGGCCGTGGGTGACAAAATACCAGCGCGGCAAGAAAATTATTGTGAATCAAATAGGAAACCTATTTTAGTCATAGTCTCGATAAAGCCTTTCACGATCACTTGCCAGAGTTTCAGGCCAATTTTTTTTTTCACGCGAAGTTGAGTGGGCGGTTTTTACTGAGACTGCCTCTTAAACGTATTGACGTATTGGCGTTCCCGTTGCTGTCGCCGCCGTTGTAGTAGTCTGCAGTGCAGGCGTTTTCTTCGGGCGCGCGAATGTTTTTCTCGCGAAAGCGCATGTTGGTAATAGGGGAGAAAATGGGGCGAGTCAAAAGGAGTCGGGTAGGGGGCGGGGAAAGAGAAGAGTATTTTTTTTCCCCTCCCCCTCACTTCTTTCCTTCTTTTGCCCTAGCACCTACCCTTAGGGTTACAGTTTTTACTCTCCCTAATCGTCCTCCGTCATAACAAAGATGGTGGTTACAATAGTACGAACAGAAAAAAGCAGCTTTCGGCGCCCAAAATACGCCTGCACTGAAGGCTTTCGTAAGGTTCCTTGTA